AAGAGGTGTGGGAGGTCAAGGGAGAAAAAGTGACCCAGTTTCAGGACTGTACGCTGTCAAGGTACAAAGGGCCCATTGAAAAAAAACACCTTGGTAGTTTCGCTTCTTGTTTCTAGTTGTATCACAATACTATCACCCGTAATTGCAGCTGTGCGCTGTGTATAGTGTGGTGTGGTCAATGATTGCGTTATGGACTGTGTGACGGAGGGACGGTTCACGATACGTGTTTTAAAAATCACCAGAGCAACCCCTCTCCCTCCTAGACGCAGATGATGCCATATTGAAACCATCTTACCGCGTGGTCTCTTATGTGGGTGTGGGTGTGGGTGTGGGTGTGACCTTGAGATGGGAGAGGGCTTTCGTAAAAACAGACATAAAACATGAACAGAAAAAAAGCCCGCTCGTTAGGACAGTGAGTGTGAATCTGTCATTACGGGTAATGTGGGTACCGTTCCTGCCTGCAACGACCACCTTTGGTTCCCCTAAAAGGTAGTTTTTCTTTCTTTTCCAATTACTTCTTTTAACATTGCACAGGTGCCCCTTCCCTCACATATGGCCCATGTTTCCAGCCAGGCGGCAATGGAGATTATCCCTTTTGAAACCACCACTGTTCTGCTCGGCTGGGTCACCCGCACCTCTGATGAACCCGCTGCCACAGATGGGCGTCGCCTACTGGAGGTCTTCTGCGGTCCCAGGGAGGAGGTAAAAAGAAAAAAGAGTTTGATCCTTTAAAAATTATGGCTCAAATGGGGACAGATATGGCCTGCCACTACCAGGCCTCACCCCCATAACGGTTCGAGAGCCCAGGGTGGGCAAAATCGCGCATTGCAAAAAGTTAGGCTGGGGACTAGTGGTGGTTTAAGGCTTAAAGACTTTTAAGCTGATATATATTTAACTTTTTGCACTGTGGCTCCCAGACAGCCGTTTCTAACCCCCCCCCTCTCGCTCTCCGATGCGCATGACCGTTTCACTCCCTGTCTCTTGCGTCAACACACAACACAGCCATTCCTCTGCCTGACAAACACACACCAGCACAGTCATGATTTTCTGTGGAGTTGTGTATAGCGAACATGAAAACACAAAACATGCCCTTGCTAACCCTCTGTTCAGGTTGATCAATGCGGATATGGTCCGGGTCGGAGCAGACTAGCGGTCACGTCAGTCGATATCACTGGCTGAGTGGGTGTGTAGAGTGGGTTTTATGGCGATAGTATCTCAAATACGACTTAAGAAGTATGGATTTGTAAGACGCACTAACAAAGGTTATATCCTTCCTATGCCAATAAGAATTATGATCCCGATGGACCACGCAGATATTCTTGCATTTTACAATGCAAAAACCCGTGGCATTTTCAACTACTACTCCTTTGCGGCTCCCCTGGCGGGCCTGAGTCGTATTGTACACTTATTGTGGTCTTCATGTCGTCTTACGTTATCAACTAAATACAAACTTAGGTCTTTGAGAAAAAAACAGTGCATCGGTTGGGCAAGGATCTCACGTGCCCAGAGACGGGTACAACTTACTGTTGTTATCGCTAGGATTGCAAGGGTGGTGCGATAGTCTGCTAGGATTGCAAGGCTTGTGTAGAGTGGGTTTTATGGCGATAGTATCCCAAACTTAACTGTTGTTATTGCTAGGGATTTGGACTGATAGTCTGCTAGGATTGCAAGGGGGTTAGTGTGAGTAAAGTGGACCACTTTTCTCTCTGAGGGTATATCACTAACTCTGTGCAAAGTGGTAAATCCTTATCCATTAGTCAAACCCCCGAAGAGTCGGTGAAAGTCGAATGAAACGGTCCTTGCTTTATTGCGGAGTCGTGTAGGGCGAACGTGAGAACATCGAAAGGATTTCACCGCTGCATCCCTGGTCCCAGTCACATTTGCAGTCCCCAATTCCCTCGTCAGTCCCGGTCACATGTACCATATTTGCGAACTATGAGGTAGGCTAGCGTTAGTAGGCCCCAGGTAGGAAATCTCCGGTAGGTACCAGTAACCGAGAAGGTGTTAGGCCCTTTTGTCAGTCGATGTCCAGTCAGGAGCGAAGTCCTCGGAAAGTCCACAAACTTCTGGAAGCGACAAAAAAACATATAGGCAGGGTGCCGGACCCATAACCCGGTAGAGGAAGTCTGGAAGTAGTAGATAGGCACTGGCGCTGGAGGAGACAGAGAGAGAGAGAAAAATGCATTATGAAGTTCTGCACATGATTTTTGGAATAGCAAAGGAAACAAAGAACCATAATATGCAACTGAACGATGTCATGAACCAACTTCCAGAGATTTTAGACTCAGATTTATCGTTACAAGGTGAGCTTTTTGGACTATTTTGAAGATAAAGCTTGTTGAAGAAGATTGGAGAATTAAGAAATAGAGAACTAGAACGATATTATGAAAACCCAGATATTTATACATTACCAAGCCAGTCCGATTAAGAAAGAAAGGGGGGACGAATCCCCCTTTCAATAAACAAGGAATGGTAAAATGAATGAAACTACGTGTAAGTATGAACTTTGGCTCCATGAGCATAAATTAAAACTTGGACAGTGAAAGAGAAATGACGCCGAGGAAGAGAGCAACCCTCAGAGAGAGCTTGTTGGCAGCCATAGCCGCGCCTCCTGTAAAAAGGCGATTCCATGCAATTGAGTTGATTGGCGGATATTACCTTCGAGTTACGTCTTACTTGTGCTTTGGTTGTGAGCGTCATTTGGTGTGTGCATGGAAGTGGAAGTGTCGTGAATGGTTGGTCTGATAGCAACACACACACCGCATGTGGATCGACAAAAAGCGGCTCAAATGTACTGGTGATTTAAACTCAGAAATGAATTGAAACTCAGAAATGAATTGAAACTCAGAAATGAATTGCAGGAGTTTCATGTGTGCTCCGTTGTTATTGCTTGTTTCTGCATGGGAGCCAAGCGTTCCCTTTTTCTATTATTGTTTGTATCTGCATGGCAATTACTATTACCTCTCTCTCTCTCTCTCTCTCTCTCTCTCTCTCTCTCTCTCTCTCTCTCTCTCTCTCTCTCTCTCTCTCTCTGTCTGCCATGAGCTGAAAACGTAGATGTGAAAGTAAAGCCTTGTGTTTTTCAGTTCGATTTTGCACCTTGAAAGCATCTCTCTCTCTCTCTCTCTCTCTCTCTCTCTCTCTCTCTCTCTCTCTCAACTTTTTTTCAAGTCTAGAGGGCCATTGGTCTCATGTGAGGGTAAGAAAGAGTGTTCAAATATGGATTGCCCCAGTGTCCTCATGTGATCATCCCATAAAAACAATCAGAATTTGTGGGGTATAATTTTTTACTAATCGTTTTTGCAGCAACCCGTGGTTTATTATGTGGGAAAAAGTAGGTGAGAATCCATGAATCCCAGGAAGGCAATCCTGACTGGCTTGATGATATCAGAATACAAAGTGAATTCCGGCAGCACAGCGAATATGTTCTGATCAGATTCGTTGCCACCACCGCTACCTTTGAGCCGCCCATAGAGGTACACAATTGTGCTACGCTTGAATGGACTTGGCCTGCATTCAAGCTCGCTGATCAGGTTTGAGGCATTTCTGTCACAACTTTTGGTGGACTGATTATGGCACCAGGCTCTTACAGCATGAGGCAACCCTTCACGTATGCCTGGAATGTACATACGCACACAAATGGAAACGCAGACAGAGCCATACAGAGTCACACAAAGTCACATAGCGGCTTGTTTGCAGTTCTTCTCTGGGAAAAGTCTGGAGAGATGCTTTGTTATGTTGACAAAACTCACAGTTTCGTTGGACAAGCCCATGCTGACTTCAAAATATATCTTTTGGTGGTGGTGGGGGGCGGATCACTTGATTGGTCTGTTCGTCGGTGAGGTGGCAACTTGAATCGAGCCGGTACGTGTGCATGTGAGAGAGACATGGAGATCGACACATACGGTGAGAGAAAAAATTGAGTTGACTGAGGGAGTGTAGTTGGTATATGTGATGTCATGTTCATATAAAAAGACATGACCGTGCCAGACTCTAGTTGGTGTGTGTGTGTGTGTGTGTGTGTGTGTGTGTGTGTGTGTGTGAGAGAGAGAGAGAGAGAGAGAGAGAGAGAGAG